TCGTGGACAACGCTCGAGTCGTCCTCCAGTTCTATGGCCGAAGACAACGGCTACAGATACGCAGGGCGGATCAGTCCCAACAGGGGGGGCCATCGCTGGACATCTCCCCTGCTGCTTCTCTGCACAACGGGGTCTCGCCGGGGCGGCAGGCCCAGCGGCCGCTCGCCATTCACGAGAGGCGCCTCCCGAGGTGGAGAGGAATGGAATGCTCTGTAGAGAACTACGAGGACCACACCGGGGACGGGAGGAAGCACTGCAGCATCGCAGACGCGTCCTGGGACGACTGTGGCCCTCGTCCTCCCCGCTGTTCCCCTCCTTGCCCTCGCCCCGCTCCTGGCTGACGCGGGCAGCCTGAAAGCGGAAGCTGCAGGAAGGGCAGGAGGCCATGGCCCAAGATAAGGCCAGCCTGCCGACTTGAACCATGTGCAACAGATGACAGCAGGCACGGCCAGCAAGCAACAGCAAGCGTTCTGGCCGCTACTCTAGTGAGGTCAGTGGGCCACGTTCTCGAAGACCTGGGCCGCCCTTGAACGTGACCACCGTGAACACATCACATCGTCCGCGGGTGGACAATCGCGCTAGCTCCGCGTTGCAGTCACAATGACAGGAAATGGTCGCCCATGGCTCAAGACTGCCACCATCAAGAATACATTGATCGACCCTGTGTTTCTCATCCTTGGCACCGAGCAATTGCACCAAGTAGAGAACACAGCTGCTCATACGAAACACCTCATAAGGAAACACAGCCAACGTCGGCACTCCAAGAGAATATCCCGCAACCAAATCTGAACTCCATCTCCCAAGCTCTGATTGTCACCCATCACTCACTTACTTACTTGTCGTGGGTTTAGACCGAGGTGTTCCCCGACGATTCCAGCTGTCACGCATGCATGGGTATGGCATGGCCCTTGGGCCAACCCTGCATCCCGGTCGAGAAGGCGCCGGTCTCGGGCCCCGGCCCGCCTGCGAAGGCGGCCAGGTCCCCGCCAGCGTTTCGAGCTCGCGCCCTGCCGCGACTCAGGGGGGCGCCCCGAACAGAAAACAGGAAGGAGCCGCGCGCAGTCGGCCCCCGCGACGCCAGCGACGACGGGAGGCGCGCGCGCGCGCCTTGACACCGATCGCTAGGGCACAAATCACGCGATCCGCTGCTTCACGCTCGGGCGCGGCAGCAGCGGCAGCACGAGGGGGAGACGGAGGATGGAACGGGCGGAGGGGGGCGGCGAGACGGAACCCACGATCCCCCGAAACTCCGACGGGGACACCGTCGAAAGAAAGATGCGACAAAAACGAAGGGCAAAGAACACCCCCGGCCTAGGAACCTCAAGCCGCGGGCCCCCAGGTCAAGTTCACCCCGGGACCCCGCGCAAGATATGACAGGGTGGGGGGGGTGGGGGGGCAAACACCCAGGACCCAAACACGAAAACAGGCGCAACTTGTCGTGAAAAGGGGGGGCAGCGGGAGACGCCCCGCCCGAAGGCGGGGCGGCCGTGCCCGAAGGCGACTCCAAGACGCCCCAGTTCCTGAGCTTCGTCAGGAAGACAGCGAAGAACTGCTTGAACAGGCGGGCGCAGCCCTTCCCTGGGAATCGCTCCACAGGTAGGCGACCCACTCCATGGAAAGCGCGAAGAAGTAGAGGAGGAAAGCGCCGCGCGCAAAAAGGACGAAGTCCATGGCCCAAAAAACAAGGACGGACACAAAAACAGATTCGAAGGCAAATCCAGTCGCTGAAACAAGAGCGACGAGAGACGCGAAACAATGGGGCGACAGCGAGGACCAAAAGGAAACATGCGACACCTAGAGAATAATTCCAAGGACGAAGCCAATGAGCTCGAGATGTGCAGAACCAACCTCATAGCAACAAGTTCCCATGCCGCAGAAAATGCCGTCGCTCGGCCTCCACACTTCGTTCCGCGGGAATTATCAGGGCCCGGAATGCCTCCCTCCGATGATCATTTGACCTGTGGCTCTGAGGCCCCCGCGTGCGGCGCCCCTTCGGGGGCGGGCGCGGGGGCGCCTGGCGCAGGCTGATTGGGTCTCGATCCTGAGCCGGACAACAATGCGACCCGCGTGTCTGCCGAGCCCATGACTCCCAACATGCAATTTAAAGGGCTGTAATCAGCACGGCAAACTACTGCGCCAAGCGCTGCACTTCTGAGACTTCCCGCGCGTCGCACAAACTCGTATCTCACAACACCTCCGACCCAGGCGCCAACCCCCCCAAAAATGCAACAGAGCCGCGAAGACACGACGTGTCGCTACGGGCGCAGCGCGGCACGAACATCGCAACGCGCCACAGCAGACTGAGTCGCCATAGCGTCGGGCCCCCATGCCGCAGTCACGTCAGCGCCACATTCCCCCGCCGCAACGGAGACAGACCACGGCGATCGCGCGACGTCAGGCCCCCCCGCCACCATGGAGACCTACCTCGGCGAACGCTTCGCGCCAAGTTTCCCCGCCGCAATGGGGGGCGATCTGGCGGAGTGCTCAACGTCAAGTTTCCCTGCCGCGAAAGTGCGCGCGCCTGCCTCCACTCCCCCCGCGCCCCGCGCCCCTCCGCCCACCCCCAGACGGCGGGCGGCGTGGGATAACCAACTGTGACCGCGAAGGCGGTAGTTTTGGCCGCGAGGGCACACGCGCCGCCGCGGGCCCACTCGGGCGCCCCCGCCCTGAGTCGTTGGAAGCCGAGCGCTCGCGACCGCGAACCGCCTTCGCCGGCGGCGCCCGACCTCTGCGATCTAGAGCAAGCTTGTTCGACTTTCGTGAGGCTGTGTCTCCCCGCGAGCCTTGTTTCGGGCTTGCAGGGGCCCGCTTCTCCCCGTGCGAGGGCTGAGGTGGACGGTTAGGTGCTTCGTCACCAGGGCCAAAGCGGCCCCCCGAAGGCGAGCGTTATGGGGAGCCACCGTGTTGTGAAATGTTTGCGGGCTTGTCTCCGCCGTTGCCTACATGCGCCAAGGCGCACGTCATCCCTTCGCTTGCAAGCCCCGCCCCGAGCTCCCGACCTGTTAGTCGGCCCCGCAATCTGCTTCTGTAAGGGCGCCGGGTGATACCGCGGGCAGTCCTGCGTCGCCGCGCGCTCCTTTACTGGCCGGCGCGGAGAGCGGCCTCTATCCGATGGCGCCATTTCCCTGCGTGTTGTTTGCAGGCGCTGTCTCTCAAGGAGTTGGTGCACTGGTCGCAAAACCATTCGTAACTTTTGTTTGGGTCGCCCCCTCCCATCCTGCGAAATACCCCGTGCGAATGCGATACTCGAGGTCACGATGAAGTTCCATCTGTGTTCTGAACAAGAATTCAAAGATGGACGGCTCAGATAGGCCTTTCATGCCCAAGAGGATGCAATCCCAATCCTCAAAAAAATGGGTGAAACTTTTCGACAGCATTGAGGTGGGCGACGTCAAAGATGCAGCCGTCTGCTTAGCATGTACCAATCCAGGATCATAAGAAAAACTTGTAGTCCTTCGACGGCTGGAGGGCGGCAACGGCCGCCGCCGCTGGGGCTGGCCTCTTCTGGGTCACCAGCGCTGCCGCTGACTGCGCTGCGGGTCCGAGTTCCTGCTTCTGCTGCTCGCTGAGGACCCCGAGGATGGCAGTGATAATGGCCTTCGCATCAATTTCGGGAGCCGCTGCACCTCCCCTGTCATCATCGCTGACATCGTCTGTCTTCGCAGGCACGTGAAAAGGTTCGCCGCATTTGCACCAAACCTTTTTTCCTGTCCTTGGATAAATACTGCCAAGCCCCGCACCCCTGGCAGACCACGTAGGTGCGAGACTTCTGCTGACGCTGGCGATCGGCCTCCGACCATTCCCAGCCCATGGTGCGATGTGGAGCGTCCAAATACGTTTGGCAAAAAAGAACTCTACTGACCAGCCTGTATAGCGCCAAAAAGAAATCCCCCTCTTGAGCCTCGCTCAAAAAGAAAGTTGCCTTGAGCCTCGCCTTCCTCCTCCTCCTCCTCTTCCTCCTCATCCTCCTCCTCCTCGTCCTCCTCTTCCTCCTCCAAACTTTTCCTCCTCCTCCCTCCTCCTCCTCCTCCTCCTCCTCCTCCTCCTCCTCCTCCTCCTCCTCCTCCACCACCACAACCACCACCTCCACCTCCTCCTCCTCCTCCTCCTCCTCCTCCTCCTCCGCTTCTGTGCCGTCGCTTCTGAACACCTGACGAGCCTCGGGCTGCCGCCTGCCTGCTGACACCACCGAGGAAACACACGCGCGCGCGCGCACACACACACACAAGCACACACACACACAAACACACACGCACGAACACACGCACACACACACACACACACACACACACACACACACACACACGCACACACACGCGCACACACGCACACGCACACACACACACAGGCGTGGGCGCCGGAGCCCGCGCAGAGCCGCGGGCCGACGGCGTGTGAGCCGCCCGAGCACCAGCGGGCCCCGAAGCCCGCGCCGCCCGGCGGACGCCCGCCTTCTTCTTCAGCAGCGCCGGTCGCAGGTCCTACAGGCGGGGCTCCCAGCCAGGTCCGCGTGCGCCCCCGTCCCGCTTAATCCGCTCCCCCCCCTCTGCCCATCACGGACCCAAGCGTCCTGACCAACACAGGAACAGGCAACAACGAATATGCACATGCATCCATACATACATCCGTCCATCCATACATACATGCATTGGGACCGTTGGGACCGAATAGATGACTCCAAATAGATTCGCGTTGGGACCGAATAAAACCGATTTAAGTAGAACTGGGCAGATACCAGATCCAGCCAGCTCCACTTAGATTCCTACTGGGGCAGGTCTCAGATCCAGGCGATTCAAATTAGATTCCTACTGGAATATAATTGAAATCTAATTGAAATGGAGATTGTCCTAGATCCAGCTGGTTCCATTGTTTTTCCAAATGGAACTCACTTAAGATTTAATCGGAAATGGGCACATCCCAGATACCGCTGAGTCCACTTCGGATTCCGATTGGCATATGTGAGAATCTCATGGAGATTGAGCAGACCTCTGATCCAGCTGATTCCAAAGAGATTCCTATTGAAACCGAATTACGATCTAGTTGGAATTGATCCGATCCCAGATCCAGCTGATTCCAATTAGGTTCGTGGTGGAATCGAATCAGAATCTAAGCGGAATTGCGCAGATCCCAAATACAGTTGCTTCCAGTTGGAAACCTATTGGCATCGAATTAAAACAAATTAGAACTGGGCAGATCAAAGGCCAGCTGGTTCCAAATGGATTCCGAATAGAAAAAAACAAACCTATTTGGAATTGATCAAATCCCAGATCAAGCCGATTCCGATTGGATTCCGATTGGAATCCATGTAGAATTTCAGTGGGATTCGGCACATCCCAAATTCAGCCGTGTCCAAGTAGATTTCCATTCAAATCGAATTAGACTCTAATTAGACTTGAGCAGATCACGAACTCCAGCCGACTACAATTATATTCTAGCACGAGAAAACAGCGGAGCGATGACGAACGAAAAGATGGATGAGCAGGCACACATTAAAAGCAGGCAGATGATAAGTGAGAGTACGAATGAAGAGCTCAAAGACCCATGCAGAATGAATGGGTGCTCGGGGGGGCTGCGCACATACAGATCTAGATCGATAGATCTACATGTGTATATATATATATACACATATATATATACAAATGTGTATATATATATGTGTATATATATATATATATATATATATGCGAGTCTGCCTGCTTGCACACTATAACCGCGCGCGCTTCGCGCGCTCACGTTCGAGCACAAACCAGTGCATCGTCTTGACCACGGACTGTCCAGAATCAAATCCCATAGGAATGATCATGCCAAGATATCAGCACAAAATCAAATTTCATAGTATACAATGCGCTCGAAATTTCTCCTAAGACGGCGCAGGACTGTAAAACAAATATTGGAGACGAGCAACTCGTCCTGGGGAAGGGGGGGAAGCCCCTGGGACGCCATGGATCGAAGAAACAAAAATGCTCGACGCACGTGTTCGACATTCCACCTGTGGCTCTTTGGCGCCGAGAAGATACACGTGCCAGACGCATGCGTGCCGAGACGCATATTGGATACCCCCCTCTCCGCGCACGTATCTTCACGTGCCCATCTCCGACGCCGCCTGCTCGACGCACCTCCGGTCTAGGGCCAAAGGCCCGCTCGTGGGCCCCCTGACTGGGAAGAGCATGCCCACGCACACACACAAACACAGAGACCTCACTGCAGTGCTTCTGCACGCACCGAAACACACACACACACACACACACACGTGCACCCACGTACTCGCTCGATCATAAGTAGATGTACCCGTGCATGCGAAGGGAGTGCACTCACGCATATATGTTATCGCCACGTTCGAACAAGAGCTCGCGCCCGAAATGCCCACGGCTGAGCCTGAGAGCGCGACTGCGGGAACATCGAGTATGCCAGCATGCCGATGCCACCTGGCGCGCGCTCTGACCAGGATTCCGAAGCGAATCCAGCCGTGGCGACGAGGGCCGCCACGAGGCCCAAGACGGCGAAAACGAGAACAGAGCATCGGTCTCGAGACCCTGCGTTTTTCAGTGAGCGCCTGGGAGTTCGGTCGCCGCCCCCCGCCGGCAAGCCCGAACCGACCCCCGCCGCGGTCCAAGCGCAGAGCGCCGAAGGCGCACCGCGCACCCTGGCGCGCTGCGCCGACGAGGCGAGGTGTTGACCTCCGCCCCCCCCACACACGCTCAGCAAGAAGCTCGGAACACGCCTTTCCTTGCTGCAGTCAAACCGCACAGGCCTCGGAAGAAATTAGCGAACACTCATGCGGCATTCGTCTGTCAATGCCCCCCCGAAATGATCAATGTTGGCGGTGAATTGAGTGAGCTGCACTTCGACCGCAGTCCCCGCGCGTGCCAGTTTTGAGCCTGGGGGGGCACGGGAGCGTCCACGAATCCTACCAGCCCTCTGGGCGCAGGTGGTCTAACGATGACTTTCTTTCCTCCTCCAGAGACCCCCCTCTTCCGCTCCTGGGAGGGCTGAATCACTGTTCCCTATAAATAAACACCCCCTCCCCCACCCTGCCGGCAGCCAACCCGGAACCATGCGCACACCATGAGGGCCCCCCCCATCATCCCTGTCAAAAACAATGCAAAACGCACTCTGCCTCCGAATTCGGGGCATCCCCCCCCACCATCCCTGCCAAAAAACAATACACAAAACACTTTGGAGCAAAGTCTGGAGTCATGTTCGTGAGGCCCGCGGGCACTTTGTATTGTTGTTCGACAGGGACGGCGGGGGTGTCAGCATACTACCTGCTGCGCGCAGAGCTACCATCCCTGGCAAACACACAATACAAAATGCACCTCGCGGCTAAATGTGGATAGTGCGCGGCCACCCCGCGATCATTGTCAAATGGTTTTTGTCAGGGATGGCGGGGGTGGTGGTGTATGGCCTGCCGTGAGCAGGCCCACCAGACCCAAAGATGGGCATTGGTTTTCGACAAGGATAGCGGGGGCCGACATGTTTCCCGATGTGTGCTGTCACGTGCGCAGGCGCACCTGACACACTCTGCACGTGCCCCGGACGTGGCGCACCTGACGCGGCTGGAGGGAGCATCTGGCGCACTAGGCGTGCCTGGCACGCTCGGGCGCACGTGGCGCGCGTGGCGCGCCTGGCGCGCGTGGCGCGCCTGGCACGCGTGGCGCACCTCGCCCCAGCGTCGCGCACATGGGCTCGGTGCTGGTTCCCAGTAGCTGTCCATCAAAGACGACAGCGGAACATGATGAGGCTCGGGTGTTAGTGTTGGGACGGCGGGTGGGAGTGAGCTAGACGGCTTACTATCTGGAGGGCGTCTTGATCACTGTTCCTTATTAATAAACACCCCCTCCCCCAGGCGACTGGGGGCCAACGAGGGTCCATGACGACCCCCCCCCACCATCCCTTGTAAAAAACAATACGAACACATACTTTGCCTCCAACTTACATGCGCAACCAACCCGATGCGGCCCCCCCCCCCACCATCCCTGTCAAAAAGCAATTCAGAGTACACTTGGCGGTGGCGGCGGCTGCGGCGGCTGCGGCGGCGGTGGCGGCGGCTGCGGCGGCTGCGGCGGCTGCGGCGGCGGCGGCGGCGGCGGGCGGGGGCGGGGGCGGGGGCGGGGCGCGGCGGCGGCGGCGGCGGCGGCGGCGGCGGCGGCGGCGGCGCGGCAGCGGCTGCAGCGGCGGTTTGGCCGCAGGGGCGGCGGCGGCGGGGCGGCGGCGGCGGCGGCAGGCGGCAGGCGGCAGGCGGCGGCGGCGGCGCGGCGGCGGCGCGGCGGGCGGCGGCGCGGCGGCGGCGGCGGCGGCGGCGGCGGCGGGCAGCGGCGGCGGCGGCGGCGGCGGCGGCGGCGGCGGCGGAGGCGGCGCGGCAGCGGCGGATTGGCCCCCAGTAGCTGCCCAGCCAAAGACGACTGCTGAATATGCTGAGGCTCGGGCCAGACTCGGGTGCTACGTATGTGTTGGGAGGGCGGGTGGGAGTGAGCGAGACGGCTTGCGGGTGGGTCTTGACCTCTCCCCCTACCCCCTCCCCTGGACCTGGACGGGAGGGGCCGCGATCGGTTGGAGGGTCCCTTTTCGGCCCCTGTGAGGGCCAATGTTTGACAACCCTCACGAGGATCTTGGCCCCCGAGGGAGGGGCCTCGATCTGGACCCTCCCTCCTTTGATCGATGGCCTTGAAGATGGCCCCAAAAGGCGCTCAAGGGCTCCCAAGAGAGCCCCAAGAGAGCCCCAAGAGAGCCCCAAGAGGGTTCCAAGAGGGTCCCAAGAGGGTCCCAAGAGGGCCCCAAGAGGCACCCGAGAGGCCCCCAAGAGGCCCCCGAGCGGCCTCAGAGAGCCCAAGGTAACCTCCAAGATGGCTCAGATAGCCCAAGCTGGCTCAAGATGGCTCCCAAGATGCTCCAAACGGCCCCGAGACCGCTCCAAGAGCGCACAAGAGCGCTCCAAGAGATCCCCAAGAAGCGGTTTGCCAGCTCCTGAGGGGGGAGCTGAGTTGGGGGCCCCCATCCCGCAATCGATGGCCTCCAAGATGATCCCAAGAAGCCTTCTAGGGTTATCAAAAAGGTTCCACGAGGGCCCCAACAACTCCCAGAGAGCACCAGCAGCAGCAGCGGCCGCAAGAATACCTCTAGATGGTTCCATGAGTCCTCGTCCGCGTCGTCCTCATCCTAGTCCTCGTCCTCCTCATCCTCGTCCTCATCCGCGTCCTCGTCCTTAGTCCTCCTCGTCCTCCTCCTCCTCCTCCTCCTCCTCCTCATCCTCCTCCTCCTCCTCCTCCTCCTCCTCCTCCTCCTCCTCCTCCTCCTCCTCCTCCTCCTCCTCCTCCTCCTCTTCCCCTCGCCCCCACGCGGCACCCAGGGATGGCCCGAAGAGGCCTTCCAAGGCCACCCCCTTGCTCGCTTTGTTTCCCTGGATGTGCCAATCCGTCCCTTTTCCCGTCAGCTCTGAAGGGCAGGGTTTCTGAATGGGCTGGTGGGGATACCCGAAGCGCGAAGAATTGTTTCCTTCTACCGTATCATAAGGATGCATGCGCGGTAAGGAGGCAAGGGTCTTGGAGGCCCATGTGAACGTTTTTCGAACGAGGCTGGCCAGCGAAAGTCGCTGAGGACTGGCCGAAGGGGGCAAGGATGCAAGGGTACCCTTAAGAAGGTTGCCCACCCTCACTATGCGGGCTGACTGTATGTAGGGAAGCGAACTCTATACACCGATGCTTTTCCCGACCCTGCGCTGAAATTCGCACAGGAACGCGGATTCTGGTGTATCCAGGGTCCTGGTGTATACACATATCGTTGTCTCCCTTGGAGAACGGGGGAAAAGTATACGCCACACCACCCCGACGTCGTCCCTGACCCTCAAAAAGTCTTGGGATGGAAAAAACAAACCGCCACTGGTAATGTATTTGCTCCAGCTTCCGAATATGACCGACGGTGTAGCAGCACCTCCTGCGCACGATGCGCCGCTCCTGCGGCCCCTGCAGGGCGGGGGCCCGGCGGCTGTCCTCCTGGTCGCTGCTGGCCCCCTTCCGGCGCGAGCCCGAGCGCGAGCGGCTGCCCCGCGGCGCGGGAGAGCTCCCGCCGCCGCCGGCGGACTTGCCGCGGCTGGCGCTGGCGGCGGGGGGGGGGCGCGCGGGGAGTCGACCGCAGGCGGTCCGACTTGTAGGGGGGGGGGGCCCGAGCGCCCCCGGGGGGCGCGTCTCTCGCAGGGGGCGGGGCCCCCGCCGTCGGCGAGAGGCGGACGGGGCGGAGAGCGGGAGAGGGCGCCGGCGGGCAGAGGACAGCTGCACACGCCAGCGGGGGGCCGCCCTCGTGCTGGCGGTGTGCAGGCACGGCCGGCCGAACTTCGACACGGGGCCCGGCCAACCCCTGGCGGCGCCGCCTCGGAGCGTGCGTCAGAGCACCCCCCGGTTCTGATCCAGGACGGGGGTGTTAGTACTAATGGGGAGGGGGAGACATGATCAGTCCCACGCGCTTCGCCTTTCAAACTGACCCCAGTGAGCGAGTGCCGGCCATGCGATTTGTGTGATGGACTTAGCAGGAGCTCAACAATAATCCGCGCTTCAGGACGTCCTGGAACTCCCAACGAACGCGTGGCACCTATACTATTTTGGCTCCCCGAGTTAACGCGTGCTTGTCCACCGAAGCCATCCAGCACGAAGTATACCGAGTGGCAAAATTGGCACTGAGGTCCATCAGGGGCTCCAACTTTCTCGGCAAGGATCGGCGAGACAGCCCTGCACTGGGCTGTATCCTACGCTCCGTGGGCCGCGGGGGGGTTGTGCCTGCATGTGCTGGCGCGGGGCCTGGCGGAACACCTGAGCGCGCGGTGCACAGAGTGCGGGGAGAAGGCGCTGCAGGCGGGAGGAGCGGGGAAAGAGGGCGGAGCCAGGAGAGAGGAGGGATGAGCCACCACGGCACGCTCTTCCTCGTGGTGGTGGTGGGCCTGCCCTTCATTTTCATTTTCGTCCTCTGGGCCTGGAGGAGAACGAGGAGGAGCCAGGGAAATACGTGCATGGGGAATTTGATTGACAACAACGCCGGAATCAACACCACGGAGCAACGCACAGCAAATGCAGGAACCGTGAAGGGAGGAGACACAGATGAGGACGCTGCGGTCATCATCTCGGCACCCTGCAGGATCGGGATGGCGATGGAGCTCGGTACGTGGGTCGAGTGCGCCACTCCTGGAGCAGACGGCCTACGCACGTCGGCTGCATCCGGTACCTCATGATCAACCCGCTCGCCAAGCGCAAGTAGCGAAACTTTCACAAGTGGGAGCGCTGGGGCAAGAGGCGCCCCAAGGTCATTGACGACCAGACCGAATATCATCACGCGGATCCTCATGATCAAAATGTCTGTGGTGTTGGGGCTCCTGGGCGTCGTGGCTGTGAGGGGTACGCCGTGAAGGAATTATTTGACTGTGCTGATGGTAAGTGTACGTCGGTGTGGAGGCCCTGAAAGGTCGCATTGGAAAGTCTACAGCGGCCCGGAGACCAAAGGCACCTACCACGCGCAAGAGTGAAAGGACCGCCATACTGGAGAGGAAAGCGATTTTGGTATGGGGGAGCTTACGGTACAGAACTTCTGGCAGCACCCTGGGCTACGAGACAGAGGAGCTTCACCACTGGACGACACGATGGGCACGTTCATCAAAGCGCTGAGTGGCCGAATGCCGACTTACTCCAAGGAGAGTAGTGCAGGATCAAAGACAAATCCAACAAGGTCGACAAGAAGGTGGAGAACGCGCCGCCAATAGCACATAAACAAGGACCTGGACAATTTTATCACCAGGCTCACACAAGATACTGGGATATGGGGCAGATCTGCGCTGCATGTTTTGAAGGATCTTCGTCTTAGATCGACGAAACATATGAAGGCCAAAGACAAAACTGTTTTGATCGGATCCGTGGGGGAAGTAGACTACGAGGACGAAGCGAACAATATCTCAGATCACGTTGCCCAGAGCCTTTCGGAATGGAAGAAGAAACGAAAATTCGAGTGACGCACCGCGAGCCAGTGCGCAGTGGAACCGCACAGCGCGCACCAGTTCAAGAATAGACATGGTGAAGGTCATTCAATACCAAGATCGACAATACACGAAACATCACAATCATGTTGAAAACGCACACGGCTTGTGTAACGGGGACCGCCTTGACGAGTTATGTTCTGAGCTGGCATCGGTGGAATGGAATACTCTGCTGCTGAACGAAACATGGCGAGATGAGAGAAAAGAGTACTTCACTACTCCAGCAGGGCACCCATGTCCAGCCTCAAGTGGGGTCGCCATCCTTGTCCATAAGCGTTTGGTGCATCATATGGGAGACTCCGCTGGAATGTCTGAGAGAGCTGCATGTTGATATCGTAGGGGGGCGGCTGGGAACAAGGATTGTGACTGCACATTTTCCGCTTGCAAGCTACGGAAATGCGCGCGTACAGGAGTTGCACACCATTTTAAGAGAGTTGGGGTCGAAACGCAGGGCAAGACGATGAGTTGTCCGGTTGATGCCACTTTCAACGCTCAGGTGGGTAGCTGCGCGGAGAGCGATGATACCGGGATCATTGGTCCCCACGGCATGGGCCCCGCGAGTTCCGAAGGCAATTGGCCAACGATTTGGGTATCATATGAAGAGCATGGCGATTGCCAACATGAACTTCGCAAAGCACCTGCATGAACGCTGCACATACGCGGGGCCTCGTGGACGGGCCGGGCAAATCGATTGCGCACTCGCGGGCCAAGAGGCGCGGCGACAAGCCAAGCTGCAGATTCGCAACCACTCGTGGATCTTGGTTCTGACTATCAAACAGCCCCCGCGGCAGCGAAGGCAGGCGCGATTAAGCGAAAGATTAATAAATAAATTAAAACCAACAAGATGGCCACATCAAGTGGGGCTCTGTCGACGCCGCCGCATGCCAAGATACGCCGCAGGAAGCCTTGCATCCCCAGGGCAGCGGGCTGGAGCGCGGCAGCATAGAAAGGCGCGCGCCCAGCGCAACCTCGAAGTCACGAGTTGCAGAACCTCCCGCTTCACAAGACGGCGGACCTGAGGGCACAAGATTACAAGCTCCACTACGTCAGCGGAGAAGGCACCGAGGCGATCGCAGTGCACGCTTGCAGATCCGGCAGCCCTTTTCTGGGGCCATCTGGCTGCGGGGATTAGGCCTGCTGCCCCCTACTGAGCTACAGTTTCCAATATTGTGTCTGTCGTTGCCAATGCCGCCCAGGACTGATGCTTCGTTGCCACCCTGACGGCTCAAGCCTCTCCTGCCACGGACTGTCCAAACTGCCTCGATGAGTTCGCCGTCGCCGTCGTCGCTAGGCGGGGGAAACGGTCCGCCTGCTACACCTCCGCTGCGGAAGAACTTTCCGAGGTTATCCTGGGCCATCGGCTCCGCATGCACGTCTGCTTCGTTGTCGCCCGCGCGGGTCTCTTCGAACTTAAGGCGCTTCTGCTCGCGCCATGCAAAGCCGACGACCTGATCTCGAGGAGCTGCATATTACCTGGTACTCTCCCTTCTTCACGATGCGCAGCGCGCTTCTGCTGGCGCTCGCCAAGACAGGCCACGCGTTCTCGCCCCACTTGCATAACAGCGATGCCAGTCCGAGCGCCTCGACTGTTCTAGACCCTGACGCGCGCAGCTCGCCTTCCGCGGAGCTCGGGGCCACGCCGCCCTGAAGCCGCGCCCACGACAGCCCAGTGCACGCGCGGCACTTCAGTACACCGCCGCTGACTGAGATCCTGTCGCCCATGTAGTCTGCCCAGTCTGCGTCTGCGCGGCGCTGTGCGATCTGCTCGATACGATTGTCTGGCTCCAGCACTAACTCCACGTCCTTGGCCCCTGCCAGGCACCGCGCCATCTCCTTCAAACTGCGCTGGCCTCTCTGAGTTGACACCAGCATGCCGCGGCCAGGGGCTCCAGTTCCGCGCTGCATGTCAGCGCTGTGGCTCGTCAGCTGCAGCACCTTCCGCGCGCGCAGCCTGCGCGAGCCGTGGCCCGCTGCGTTCTGGAACCCGTCGTCGCCCTTCTGCTTAACCTCGTTCTTCCCCTCTGGGCCATCTCAGGGTTCCGCCGTCTGCGACCTCAGCCCTAGCAGCGCGCCCCCGATCAGCGACATCCTGCCCTCGATGGCATAGCCATCTTGCGGACCTGCATGCTCAGGAAGATGCCCTCGTCGCCTGCGTCGCATAGCTTAACCGCGTCCGAGGGCATACGCTCATCGCCCAGCCCCGCCAATAGTTGGTTCACCGACTCCCAGGGCCCTGCCGCGAGGGAGCCATCAGCGTGTTGGCCTGCCTTGACCTTGTCTTGGGCCCTCATGAAGACGCAGCCGTCGCATCGCCCTCGATCAAGAGCCATCTGATCCATCGTTACTGCGCCGTGATCCACCCATGCCTCGGGTGCCCCTTTGAGTCCTGCAAACGCGCGCAACGCTTCCCACTGGCACTCCTGCTTCGGATGATGGTTCCAAGCAGGCCCGGTCCCCCGTCGGGGGTGCCTGTAAGCATACCCCACTGCAGTCGCCGAGTGCCACCGCGCGGCCGTTCACCTCCGCGCTGGCCAACATCGCCTTCAGGTGTGTAGTGACGGAGTGGCGGCCACGAATTTCCCATGCCCGCGGGACTGCTGCTCGAACCCCCGCGTGGTCCACCTACCCTTCTCGCTGCCGTCGGCCCGGTAGGCGCCAACCCCCTTGCCTGTCAGGATCTCGGAGGTCATCTCGTAGATCAGAACCTGCTTCACAATCTGCCTGCCGTCGCCCGCGGTCTTCTCGAGGTGCTCCATCTTCTCCGCGTGGCAGTCGCCTCCGTTCGCGTAGACCTCCTCGCCCTGCACTGTCGGCCCCTCGGACATCTCGCTGACCGCGCAGATCGTAGCGATCAGTGACTTGCTCCAGGCCTGGCCCCCTCAGTCGTCTCCGTCTCGCTCTTGTTTTGGAGCCACTGCCCAGGCTGCTGGCGCCACCCTTGCCACCGCCTGAGCTGGCGGCAGCGAGCTGCTCGCCGCTGCCGGCTCCGCCGCCTGAGCCGGCAGCACTGGGCCCACGTCCATGGGCGACCTACGCCTGCAGCTCTCAGCTTGCAACCTCGCCCCATCGACGTCCATGTCATTCGGCAACCCGGCGCCGTTGCTGCGGGTCCGGGACCGCGCGTTGCTGCTGAAGCACCTCCTGCTGCGGCTCCTCCTCCTCCTCCTGGCGGGGTTTCTCCTCCTGGTGGGGTTCCTCCTCCTGGTAGGGCCCCCCCTCCCGGCGACGCTGCTGATCCGACCGCCTCGACCAGTGGGGCTGGCAACGGAGCCTCTACCATCATGGAGAGGGGCCCCAAAATGATCGCGTCCTGAATCGAGCTCTGCGTTGGCGGCCTTCCCCGCGACACCGGGTCGCCTCCCGAGGCGCCCAGGTCTTCTTGTCAAACATGGCTGGGCCCCAGCGCTTGCCACGCCTTCCGCTTGGTCGCCCTGGACCTGGCGACGCCCGTCGGGGCGCCGATGATGCGCTCGTCGGCCCTGGTACTCTGCCTAGCCAGATACCCCCAGCCACGAAAGCTCCAATTCGTTGGCCTGGGCTTCAGGCCCGTCTGCAGATCACCGCCTCGCCGACTGCCGCGATCGGCTTCTGGTACTTCAGCATGCGCGTCTTCTCGCGGGGCGTCATGTTGGCCCCCCCCACCACCACGCACCTGTTGGAGAAGCATGCTGCGCGGCGGGAAGCCACGCGAAGAACGGGGAGTCCGACGCGAAGCGCTTGCTCCCCATTTTCTTTACCGCCAACGTGAAGGTCTTCACCTGCTTCCTCACAATCCGGATGGCTCTGCATGCCCGCCCGCTGGCCTGGGAGCTGTACTTCTCCGCCTGCATCGTCGGGGTGGTCTGGCAGCTCCCGTCCCGCAGCGCCGCTTTCCTCACCGTCATGATGAACGCAAACGCTGCTGCTCCCCCTGACTCTAGTTCGACTCGTGAGTGTCCCAGTTCGGCCAACCACGGCATCGCTGAGGCTATCGTGCAAGGGTCGTCGCGACCCTTCTTGATGGTGGCTGTGCCCCTCTCCCTACCCACGGAGGCGTCGCCTCGACCACGAGCTCGAAGTTGAATGGCTCGCCCTCCTCTCCTGCCTGACCGCAATCGGAACTGACCAGCGGGATGATGGCTCCCCTCCTGTCAAGGCCTGCGCGGGTAGTGCGTTAGTTCGTGCCTTTCAATCCTCCCCGCAGTCGGCTCGCGCGGTCCTACGGCTCGTGCGATCGTCGGGCATCGCCGCTGGCTCTTAGGGCCCCACTGCCTGAGCGAGTGGTCCGCCTGCCAGCGCTCGCTCTACCGCATGGCCGTCATCCTCCTCTCCTGGTCGTGTTGCTGTGGCTGCTGCTCCTATCGGTGCCACGAGCGCGCCGTTCACCATAAGGCAGTCCTGGACGTGCCCGCTCCTAGCCCAGCACTCGCGTGCGTAGTGGTTGTTGACCCTCTTCGGCATGGCGAGTCCCGCAGCCTCGTGTCAAGGGAACTCCCCCTTGTCCGTCGTACGACGCCGCTCGACTGCCGTGCCTCATGCAGAACCTGCCGACGCGCATGATGGGCTGCGTCACGTCCGCCACCCGGAACTCTATGATGACACTGCTGTTGCCTAAGATGTGAAAGGCCCCCGCCTTCTGGCCGTAGTGCTTCAGCGGGGTGCCGCCCGCCGCCCCCAAGTCCGGGTTCCTGCTGGGTGATTTGGACACCCGTAGAAAGTCGTGCTGGCCGCACGCGCGCTCGTCCGCTTAGTTGCGGGTCAGCATCAGCATGCTGGTCCACTCGCCGTCGGTCCTCACATTGCTGATCATGGACGTTTCCGTCACCGCGAAGATGAAGCATGGCTTCAGATCGGAATCGGTGGTCGCCTGCTGCACGATGAATGCGACCATCCAGGCGTCGCCTGTCCCTGGGGTCCACGGGCTCCGATCTGGCTGGCTGCGGACCCTACGGTTGATGCCCCCGCACTGCCTGATGAAGAGCCCACCAGCGAGACGGCGGAGAGCGGAGGTAATAGGTGGAAAGAGAGAGGAGGGAGCGAGGAGGTTGGTGCAGGGTGGGTGCTGGGAGGGGAGGCGGGAAGAGGGAGGCGGAGGTTGGAAAAGGAAGGAAGAGGGAGGCAGGAGGGAGGATTCAGAAGGGAGGAGGAGGGAAGGTGGGAGGAAAGAAAGGAGCCAGGAGGCGGTGAGCCACAGCGTACAGGGCCCAGGTGGCATGCGGCCATGAATGGGGCAGGCGTCCAGGCGACGCCGCTGGGGCGGGGGCGCGTTGCCTCGGCAGTCATGGAATCCGGGTCCTGAGAAAAAGGCCGGAGAAGAGAAAGCGTCGGAGGTCACTACTGCGGAGGTGCTCGGAGGTCTCCGCAAGCCTCAAAAGTCCCAGGACGGAGGCCCAGGGCGCCCCCACAGGTTCCAAAGGGGGCACCAACGTCGAACAAACCAACTGCGTCTGCTACGCGCGACCCCGACCATAGAGCAATCGCGAGCACGCTCGAAATTTGCTCCGCGTGCATATACAGCGCCATGCGTGTTAAAAATCCTGACGTATGGGCACTACATGTGCTGAGCATGGTTGTTTTAACTGTGTGCGCAATGTGCGTGATATGGATCCATGATGCATGGATTACACGTGTTCCCAATGTGTGTTTGACCTGGTGCATGCTAATCTTAGGTCGGGCCTGTCCCTCCACAGGGGGGGTGGACGACATGTTTTTTATATATATATATATATATATATATATATATATTAAACAAAAAACTACTTTGTGACTATGTTTGAATACTCCTCCTGTAGAGGGACAGGCCCGACTTAATGCTAATGCGCATGGCTGGTATCCATGCGGAACAGTGACCCGCGCTCGGTGTGATTAGCACGTATAAATATGAAGCACGTGTGGCTGCGATACATGGTTGACCTGTGTCAGGTGCGCATGCCATTTACATGTGGTGCGTAAGTTTGTTCGGGCTGGATGTTGGCATGTTCAATGTGAGATAACTACTTTCGTCGCTCGCACATGTGTGTGATCAGTAACCAGGTCGCTCACGCATGGTATGTACGCAAGCTCTGTGTGGATGTCCGTATAGCAAGTATACACGTTAGAGCTGTATGTTGGTCACGTATATGATGCATGCTTGGTGTTATGTTATTTCATTTGGGATGGTCATCGGTTCGGTCATTCGTCGAGGAAGCTAGGCGGGATACTGGGGATCACCTGGGACACTTGGGACCTGGCGACCACAGCGTGCGGGGCGGGGGACCTGGTCGGCACAATTGTTCATAACTAGAAGATCCACACCTCCAGCCGAACAGGATCACATGTGGGCGGCGACGGAGAAGGGAGCGGAGGATCAGCAGGAGAAGCAGGAGGTTGGAGCGTCTGGGGGACCGCGTGTCTCCGACATGACTGAGCCCGACGACGAGGACGACGCCTCCTGCGACGAGGACCGCTGCGGGGCAGCTCGACCGCCCGTAAGGCCGCACGGGCGAGAGAAGAAGCATCATCGTCATCGCATGGTACAGCTCGAGACCAGGAGAAGCAGGAGAAGAAGAGGAGCAGACGGCGCGAGGGAAGCAGGCGGCGCAGGGGAAGTGTGTGTGTGTGTGTTCTGTGCGCGGGCGGCCCTCGCCTGCGCGCCGGCGCAGCGTCCGAGGGCAGGGAATGCAAGACGATGGCTCACGAGAGAGCGACGACGACGACGACGATGACGACGACGACGACGACGACGAGCGATCGCAGCGGCAACGGCGACGACGAGCTCCCGCAGCGAAGATGACGACAATGTCTGGCGATAGCGACGACGACGACGACGGCTGGCAGCGACAACGGCGACGACGAGAAATCGCAGCGAAGTCGACGACGACAGTGTCTGGCGCTTGCGGCGATGACGTCGACAACAATCGGTTGGTGGAGCGCATTGACGGCGGGGCCGCCTCCGCCGCTTGGCCCGGCGCGGCGGCGACGCCGACGCCGAGGCGGAGGGGCTCATAGGCCGAGGGGCGGTTCCCGCCGCCCAGCAGGGGGGCTCATGGGCCGCTGCGCGGGGGGCAAAAAGAAAGAGAGAGAGAGGGACAGAGGGACAGAGAGACACAGAGAGGCACGGAGAGGCAGAGAGAGGCAGAGGAAGAAAGGTAGAGAGATAGAGACTGATAAACAGCAAAGCAAAAAACAAACAACAACAACAACAACAACAACAACAACAACAACAACAACAACAACAACAACAACAACAACAACAACAACAACAACAACAACAACAACAACAACAACAACAACAACAACAACAACAACAACAACAACAACAACAACAACAACAACAACAACAACAACAACAACAACAACAACAACAACAACAACAACAACAACAACAACAACAACACTCATTTTAAGACTGTTCGCCCTTATATGCTCGAGTGTCCAATAACGCGTATTTCCCAAACCCTCGATACCCGCCCTCTTCGTCTTCGATCGAACCCCTTTTGGGGGGTATACCTTTCTTCCCTGCAGGCCGGGCCCCGGCAAGCGGCGGGGCGGCCGCGGACCGTCGGCCTGGCCAGCGGCAGCGCTGATCGGCGGGGCGGCCGCGGACCGTCGACCCGACCCCAAGAGGGACGGACAGGGGACCGACCACGACGACGACGACGACGACGACGACGACGACGACGACGACGACGACGTCGAAGACGACGGCGACGACGGCGACGACGAGCGAAAGCGTGAGCGAGAGAGAACGACAGCAGGGCCACGAAGGGCACGAAGTAGGCCACGAAGGGCGACAGCGGGGACACGAAGGGAATGCGTATGGGGCCACGAAGAGTGCGAACGAGCGGGGGCCACGAAGTGCAGATAATGCGGGGCCACAGAAGGCAACTATGGGGCCACTGAGGGTAGCAACTGGGCCACGTAGGACAGCGAGGGGGACACAAATGGCGACAGCGGGGCCACGAAGGGCATGCACATGGGGCCACAACGGGCGCGACTCCTGGGTGCCTGGGTGTCGGGAGCGCGGCGCTTGGGC